GTTGATTCCTATCAAACCTCTAACGGACGTATGCATTTGAGAAGATCGGACATAAGTAACATAGAAAGAGCAAGGATACGAACGCTCCGAATGACCATCACCATCGTCGTGGTCTTCGTGATCTGCTGGACACCGTACGTCGTGATGACCCTCTGGTAATTACCTGAAAATCCATCAAGAGAATCAAACAATTCTTAAGGATACGCTTTACAGGTACATGTTCGATCGGAACAGCGCGGAACAAGTTCCTTCATGGCTCCAAGACACTCTCTTCATGATGGCCGTTGCGAACAGCTGTATGAATCCTTTAGTCTACGGAAGCTACGCCATCAATTTCCGGAAGGAACTGAGCCGTTGTTGCTGCTGCTGCTGTCACACCAATTCACCGGAACACAGACCAAGTAAGTCCTGAAATCCTATTAGCTGCGCACTTCATTACAACATCTTCATCGCACACCATTTCCGAACCAATCTAATTAACACCTTCGTTCCATCTGCAATTGCATTTCCTTCCGTTTTCACAAAGAATTTATCTCAAGTATGATGGAAATTCGCTGATCGATGGGCTTTTGCATTAATGAAAAGACACCCCATTTTGCTCTCAATTTTTTTTCTCTCCTGTCCTTAAGAATTCAAGAAGGCCGTTTCCTTCTGAATATTGCACCGTTCCTTCGGTATATTTATCGCCTGTCATCTCGCATTAAATATTAAGTACTTCGGGATTATCCACTAATCGGTTTTTAATGTATTATACATTTTATTGCAGGTAATTCCTTGTAGCTGATATACGTCTTTATTGCATAACTTCACCTTTACTATTTGATGTAAATGCAGATTTCAATCCATTCGTAATACAATTAATGACAATAATAAACCTCAATTGTACATAAAATAACAATGATTACAATGTGAAGCATTACTTTCTGGAACGTTAATTTTTCATTTTTTCAAATGGACGAAAGCAAAGCAATGTGTTCATACCCAAATGCATCTTTTGAATCCATTCAATCTGCTATAGTTTATGAGATTTTTTTCAACTTTGAACTTACAGCCAAATGGAGAAAACTACAGCAATCTATGAATACTCTCTACATTCCGCAAATATCCAGCATCCATATCCATTTATGAATCACTTGAATCTATTGTACTTTTCAAGAGAATCACTAAAATGCGAATACACTACTTTTTCGAGTGTTAATTTTTCAAGTTTCCACTCGAATTACACATTGCTGTGTATACTTTCTACAGTTCCCTTACATCCAAATTTTAATGTGCATCTTTTTAATCTATTCAATCTGTTATAGTTCCTGAGATTTTTTTTCAACTTTGAACTCGAATTACGGCCAAATGGATAAAACTATAGCATTGTATGAATACTCTCTACATTCCCCAAATATCCAGCTTTCATATCCATTTATGAATCACTTGAATCTATTTTACTTTTCAAGAAAATTACTAAAATGCGAATACACTACTTTTTCGTTAATTTTTATTTTTTCAACTTTCAACTTTAATTACACATTGCTGAGTATACTTTCTACAGTCCCCTTACATCCAAATTTTAATGTGCATCTTTTGAATCTATTCAATCTGTTATAGTTTCTGGGATTTTTTTCATCTTTGAACTCGAATTACGACCAAATGGATAAAACTACAGCATTGTATGAATACTCTCTACATTCCCCAAATATTCAACTTTCATATCCATTTATGAATCGCTTGAATCTATTGTACTTTTCAAGAAAATCACTAAAATGCGAATACACTACTTTTTCGAGTGTTAATTTTTATTTTTTCAACTTTTCACTCAAATTACACATTGCTGGTGTATACTTTCTACAGTCTCCATACATCCAGTTTTCATGTGCATTTTTTGAATCTATTCAATCTGTTATAATTTCTGAGATTTTTTTCAACTTTGAACTCGAATTACAGCCGAATGGAGAAAACTACAGCAATGTATGAATACTCTCTACATTCCCCAAATATCCAGCTTCCATATCCATTTATGAATCACTTGAATCTATTGTACTTTTCAAGAAAATCACTAAAATGCGAATACACTACTTTTTCGAGTGTTATTTTTTTTTCAACTTTTCACTCAAATTACACATTGCTGTGTATACTTTCTACAGTCCCCATACATCCAGTTTTCATGTGCATTTTTTGAATCTATTCAATCTGTTATAGTTTCTGAGATTTTTTTCATCTTTGAACTCGAATTACGGCCAAATGGAGAAAACTACAGCAATGTATCAATACTTTCTACATTCATCAAATATCCAGCTTTCATATCCATTTATGAATCACTTGAATCTATTGTACTTTTCAAGAAAATCACTAAAATGCGAATACACTACTTTTTCGAGTGTTAATTTTTATTTTTTCAACTTTCCACTCGAATTACACATTGCTGTGTATACTTTCTACAGTCCCCATACATACAGCTTTCATGTGCATCTTTTGAATCTATTCAATTTGTTATAGTTTCTGAGATTTTTTTCAATTTTGAACTCGAATTACAGCCAAATGGAGAAAACTACAGCAATGTATGAATACTCTCTACATTCCCCAAATATTCAGCTTCCATATCCATTTATGAATCACTTGAATCTATTGTACTTTTCAAGAAAATCACTAAAATGCGAATACACTACTTTTTCGAGTGTTAATTTTTATTTTTTCAACTTTCCACTCGAGTTACACATTGCTGTGTATACTTTCTACAGTCCCCATACATCCAGTTTTCATGTGCATCTTTTGAATCTATTCAATCTCTTATAGTTTATGAGATTTTTTTCAACTTTGAACTCGAATTACGGCCAAATGGAGAAAACTACAGCAATGTATCAATACTCTCTACATTCCTCAAATATCCAGCTTTCATATCCATTTATGAATCACTTGAATCTATTGTACTTTTCAAGAAAATCACTAAAATGCGAATACACTACTTTTTCGAGTGTTAATTTTTATTTTTTCAACTTTCCACTCGAATTACACATTGCTGTGTATACTTTCTACAGTCCCCATACATCCACCTTTCATGTGCATCTTTTGAATCCATTCAATCTCTTATACTTTCTGAAAAAATCACTGAAATGTGAATACACAGCGTTTTCAAGTGTTTTTTTTATTATCGTCTAGACTCGAGATCGGAATTTTCTACACACCTTTTTTTACTACGTTTCATTCAAGTTCATTCATTGATAGTGCGATGCAGTGCGATTTTTTTGCTGCATTCCTTTACGCTCGTAAAATATAGTATTTTTTTGTCAAATTGATTCACAAATCGTCTGCGTCGCGATGAATCACAGCGGTACTGAAACGTTTAAACTTCGAATATACTCGTGAATCGTTACGAAATCGCAGTTGCAGCTGCGAGTGATAAACAAATCCTTATATGGTTGTGAAAACGCGCCACACCTGCGTAATTATGAATCATCTGCACCTGCGAATCGTTAAGCAAATTCACAAATGAGTGCGTTTTGTTTCAAATTTACTAATCAGTAAAGAAAAAAAGATACATTAATTATCAAATTTTTCTTGTTAAAACATATTTTTTACATCATCTTTTAAAAATTGCTAAAATATAACAATCAACGCTTGTATAATAGAAAATTAACCGTAGCATTACAATTCCTTATACATTTTTCTTACAAATTATAAAATTATCAAAGAAAACGAAAAGTTTATTTATATCCAATCTCTTATAACTTCTGAGAAAATCACTATAATGTGAATACACTACTTTTTTGAGTGCTAATTTTTATTTTATCAATTTTCAACTCGAATTATACATTGCTGTGTATATTTTCTACAATCCCCATACATCCAGCTTTCATGTTCATCTTTTGAATCTATTTAATCTGTTATAGTTTCTGGGATTTTTTTTCAATTTTGAACTCGAATTACGGCCAAATGGATAATACTACAGCAATGTATGAATACTCCCTACATTCCTCGAATATCCAGCTGTCATATAAATTTATTAATCACTGGAATCTATTATAGTTTTCAAGGAAATCACTAAAATGTGAATACACTACTTTTTCGAGTATTAATTTTTATTTTTTCAACTTTCCACTCAAATTACACATTGCTGGTGTATACTTTCTACAGTCTCCATACATCCAGCTTTCATGTGCATCTTTTGAATCTATTCAATCTGTTATAATTTCTGAGATGTTTTTCAACTTTGAACTCGAATTACGGCCAAATGGATAAAACTACAGCAATGTATGAATACTCTCTACATTCCCCAAATATCCAGCTTCCACATCCATTTATGATCCATTCCATCACTTGAATCTATTACAGTTTTCAAAGAAATCACTAAAATGTGAATACGTGTTAATTTTTATTTTTTCAACTTTAATTACACATTGCTGTGTATACTTTCTACATTCCCCATACATCCAGTTTTCATGTGCATCTTTTGAATCCATTCAATCTCTTATAGTTTCTGAAAAAAAAATCACTAAAATGTAAATACACAGCGTTTTCGAGTGTTTTTTTTATTATCGTCTAGACTTGAGATCGGAATTTTCTACACACCTCTTTTTACTACCTTTCATTCAAGTTCATTCATTGATAGTGCGTATTTCCGAGAAATGCAGAACATTTTTTTTGCTGCATTCCTTTACGCTCGCAAAATATAGTTTTTTTTTTGTCAAATTAATTCACAACTCGTCTGCGTCGCAAATTCATAAATGTCTACATTAATGAGTGCGTTTTGTTTCAAATTTACTAATCAGTAAAAAAAGATACATTAATTGACAAATTTTTCTTGTTAAATATATTTTTTTACATCATCTCTTAAAAATTGCTAAAATATAACAATCAACGCTTGTATAATAGAAAATTAACAATTCCTTTTACATTTTTCTTACAAATTATAAAATTATCAAAGAAAACGAAAAGTTTATTTATAATTCGATTGTGTTTTGCAAAGAACGTAAACCCTTGTAGCAATTGAACTTTGTTGGACCGAGGAAACATAAATCCGGGAACAGGAAAAGACGCGTGACAAGTTTCAAAAGTTGATTTAAACTCGTGTCACATTCCGAAACGAGTTAATATATACTTGTTTGTACTGTTATGTATAACCGTTATTGTTTATATAATGTTAGCCCTTATTATTTTATACATGTTTATGTATGTAAGTCATTAAGACTTAGATCAAATACCACTTAGGAAGATCACATAAATAATCATTGTGTAACGACTATTGTTAATCAACATTTTGTGCACAAACTCGAAGATTCAATCAAGAATGACCACTAATATGTACATCTGCCTAATCACTTAATTATTAGGTAAAGTTAGGTACTATCTTCCCTTACCAAATATTGTACTCCCACTATGCTAATTCACTACTATATAACAGTATGTTTATGTA